CTTTATAAGAGATTTATGGAAAAAGAAAATGTTCTTTTAAAGATGTTTCCAACTCTAACTTTGAACCAATTCTATTGAATGGCCCATATAACCTATTTGCACAGGATTTGTTTCCAGGTATGTCTAAAAATGTGCTTTTGACTTTCATTTATATTTTGATTTATATATATATATATATATATATATATATATATATATATATATATATATATATATATATTAGGGGTGGAACGGTACACAGAAGTCACGGTTCGGTTCATACCTCGGTTCAGACATCACGGTTCGGTACGATTTCGGTACAATGGAGGGAAAAAGCAAAACAAAAATGCAGAAGGCATCGTATTTTTTAAATAAGTTTTATTAATAAAGGCATAGAACCCGTTTATTTGCAGTGCACTGACAATAGTTTTATAAAATTAGTTTATTAATTAAATTAATAAAAAAAAAAAAAAAGACCTTGCGATATATTTGGTAATTGTACCTGAATTTATTTAAAATTAATTTGCTATATTTCAGATCAATATATTTGTTTTCCTTAATTTTAATTAACATTATTAATTAACAATGTAACATTATTCTCATCTGAATTATAAATAATTGATTTCTGTATAAAATAATACTACCATTAAAAACATTTGATTTTCTTTTTTAATCAATGTAGAATGTGTAAGATTAGCGCTCCGAGGACAAGAAATGGAAACCAATGCAATATGACGAATGTCCAAAAGAAGGGACCCACAGACTGTTTTGAAATGGAGTTGGATAAATATGTTTTGCTTTTAAAACAGTGTGTGTGTGTGTGTGTGTGTGTGTGTGTGTGTGTGTGTGTGTGTGTGTGTGTGTGTGTGTGTGTGTGTGTGTGTGTGTGTGTGTGTGTGTGTGTGTGATTTTGGTTGGGTGACAGTTGCAGGTTACAGTTTGACAAGAGTTTACAGTGTGACAAAAGCACAATGTTGTGTTTTATTGCGAGTGTACACAAATATAAGTAAACACTTTGCAGGTTTAATGATCTGTATGAACAAAATGACCGAGTATGTTTTTTGTGTTTCCACTGTTCAATCGCGCGCCTCTATCGTGCCCGCGCCTCTCTCTCTCTCTCTCTCACACACACACACAGACACACACTCCAGCATTTCAATCTTGACATTGCAGCCTGTTTATTATGCGGTCACACCAAACGCGAAAATAGAGCGTCAAATTCGCGTCTATCGCATCTAGTTCGACTCTAGTCTAAAGCGAATAGGACGCACGTATAAAGCCAACGTTTGAAGTGAACGTGCGTTCAGAGCTAGCCGATGGTACAGATTATGTGTCCCTAAAGAACCCGCGTATCTAACAGTAGTTCCGCATTACATTAATTAATTTGCACGCAAGTTTTATTTATTTTTATACCGTGTAAATTCGTGCACCGAACCGTGACGCCCGTACCGTTTCGGTTCAATACGAATACATGTACCATTCCACCCCAAATATATATATATATATATATATATATATATGTCTGTGTGTGTGTATATATGTATATATATTTTCCTTGCATTCTTTCTTGTGACACACCTGAATGAAATGAATGCATCTTTGTCTTCTCAGGTGAGAATCACTTAATTATACATGAGGGGGTTGGGCCGTTCACGCCCTTTCGCATATTGCCTTTCAAACAAAAAAAATTTTTTTCACAATTTAAAGCAATCTATGGTTTTATGTGAATGGTTAGGCAGGATGATTTTCAGATCATTTTGAAGCAAATACTCTAGGCGACAACATCCATTAGTCAAAAGTCTTGTGGACACATATTAAGTAGTGTGGCCTTATTTCAGAAACTTTCATTTTTAGTTTTATCAATAAACATGCATAAACAATATTCTCTCTAAAATACAAACATGTACATACATGTTGCTCACATATTATGGTAGCCCTGTTTGTGCTAAATAGAGTGTAATTTCACCTGTGCCATTAATATGTTTATAAGCAACTGAAAAAAGCACAAATGTCAGGGCATGTCAAAACATCTCAAGGACCCCAAAAAAACCTTAGACTCCAGAGGGTTAAAGAAAGGCTTTCTACAAAACAACACTTAATGTGGTCAAAATTATGTCTCCCGATATACACTCACCCAAAGGATTATTAGGACCACCATACTAATACTGTGTTTGACCCCCTTTAGCCTTCAGAACTGCCTTAATTCTACGTGGCATTGATTCAACAAGGTGCTGAAAGCATTCTTTAGAAATGTTGGCCCATATTGATAGGATAGCATTTGTGGGATGCACATCCACGGCACGAAGCTCCCGTTCCACCACATCCCAAAGATGCTCTATTGGGTTGAGATCTAGTGACTGTGGGGGCCATTTTAGTACAGTGAACTAATTGTCATGTTCAAGAAACCAATTTGAAATGATTCGAGCTTTGTGACATGGTGCATTATCCTGCTGGAAGTAGCCATCAGAGGATGGGTACATGGTGGCCATAAAGGGATGGACATGGTCAGAAACAATGCTCAGGTAGGCCGTGGCATTTAAACGATGCCCAATTGGCACTAAGGGGCCTAAAGTGTGCCAAAAAACATCCCCCACACCATTACACCACCACCACCAGCCTGCACAGTGGTAACAAGGCATGATGGATCCATGTTCTCATTCTGTTTACGCTAAATTCTGACTCTACCATCTGAATGTCTCAACAGAAATCGAGACTCATCAGACCAGGCAACATTTTTCCAGTCTTCAACTGTCCAATTTTGGTGAGCTCTTGCAAATTGTAGCCTCTTTTTCCTATTTGTAGTGGAGATGAGTGGTACCCGGTGGGGTCTTCTGCTGTTGTAGCCCATCCGCCTCAAGGTTGTGCGTGTTGTGGCTTCACAAATGCTTTGCTGCATACCTCGGTTGTAACGAGTGGTTATTTCAGTCAAAGTTGCTCTTCTATCAGCTTGAATCAGTCGGCCCATTCTCCTCTGACCTCTAGCATCAACAAGGCATTTTCGCCCACAGGACTGCCGCATACTGGATGTTTTTCCCTTTTCACACCATTCTTTGTAAACCCTAGAAATGGTTGTGCGTGAAAATCCCAGTAACTGAGCAGATTGTGAAATACTCAGACCGGCCCGTCTGGCACCAACAACCATGCCACGCTCAAAATTGCTTAAATCACCTTTCTTTCCCATTCTGACATTCAGTTTGGAGTTCAGGAGATTGTCTTGACCAGGACCACACCCCTAAATGCATTGAAGCAACTGCCATGTGATTGGTTGATTAGATAATTGCATTAATGAGAAATTGAACAGGTGTTCATAATAATCATTTAGGTGAGTGTACCAGACAGTTTCTGGTCCCATTGACTTCCATAGTATATATTTTTTCCTACTATGGAAGTCAATGGGACCAGAAACTGTCTGGTTACTGATATTCTTCTAAATATCAGAAAATCGGCTGAATGGATTCGAAAATGGTAAAACTCAACTGTTTAACTCTGGGGAGTTGTAAAATTAGCCTATTTCCAAAAAAAGTGGAGTATCCCTTTAACAAAGTATGAAAATACAATTATTAAACACATTATAGATATGCTTATAAATCAAGAAAAAATCTTAATAGCTGTTTTTATAAGCTGCTTATAAATGTCTATTAATGCTTTATAAATGATGAATTAACTGTTTACTAAAACTGTTTACTAATGCTTAACTAATGGTTAATAGCGTGCAGTTATTATAAAGTGTTTTCCAAGGAGAGTGGTGACGCTAGTAGCATCCACCGTGTTTTCCTCATGATGTTGCATTAGCAATCAGGGATCAAAACTATATGATGTATTTGTTGTTTGGGAGGTTTTTGTTGTTACTGCTGGTAGTACTACTGCTGCCGTGCCGTGACGCGGGTTGGAGATTGTTGTACGATGCGTGTGAATAGTGTGTGTTGTTCGCCGGGGAGGCCTTAATTAATGTGTGAAACTACTGGTCCCCCGGCACTAGTTGTGTGTAAAGTGAGCGTGTGTGTGTGAGTAAGGGGGAAGGAGAGCAGGTTATTGTTATCTCCCATACAGTATGCCTCTTATACTGTATATCGACGACGGCTATATATTTAGCAGTGTTATTGATGGTAGGCCTATGTCCTGATTAATATTTGTTGTGTATTTATTGGTGGGGTATTTATATGTCTTTGAGGTTTGCAGTGCAATGGAATTGTGCCTGGTAGGTGATCACATTAATTTATTGTTTGTTGATGCCTTATTCTTCTCTAAACGGTTTCTATTAATTATCAATACATGATTCGTTGAATTGTACTTGTCATGATTGCATAAATCTGCTGTCCCTCCCCTGGGGTTTAATTCTATGATTGTACAAAAATAAAATTGTTACATTTATATCTAATGTATTTTAATACATCTACTATTTTGCACAGTCATCTTTTTACTTTAAGACTGGGGTAAACAAAGAGAATCGCACTGGTGACAAAACTTTTTTTAAATAAAAGTTGCTGATAACTTCTGGATTTGAAATACCAATAGTGAGTAAATGTGTTTGTGGTACAGCCACGGATCAGTTGCGCACTTCAGTGTCCCAAAACACCGGATCCGTCTGGATGAAACGAAGATACAATACAAAATGTGGACAGGCCTAAGACATGAAGACACTTTTTTTTTTTTTTTTATATGTCATTTTGGTGATCAAAGATAAGTTTTAAGGGATACAATTATTGACTAAAGGGGAATAATTGAAGACAAACCTCTTGCATGTGCACTTCATAAAAGACATGTGCATCATTTTAAGAAACTATTTATATATTCTGCACTTAACTTCAACTCCCTGAAACTTGACATTGTGTGCTACAAATATTTTGTTGATTTGTGTACATAAACAATATTTATTTGTTTAAATATAAAATGATAAAAAAAATGTACACATGTTAATTTAATCCTTGAGCATGATGAAAGAGAGCTTGAAGAAATGTGACTTGTATTGATGGAATTAAATAACCATTAATGTCAGATTTAGACGTGTCTGTGTTCATCACCTGTGCTGTCAGGGCTGGACATGTTGATATTCTGTTCTCTGTTTCTCTAAGTCTTCAGCTGATCATCTTCTGTGACTCTGACGTCTCTCTGTTCATCGTCCTGTAAGAGATTCATCACAATCCTGAGACTCTGTTCATGTCGTATGAGCTGCACATCTGCTGAGAGTCACAGGTTAAATTCCCAATAAACCAAAAACAAACACACTGATCAAACATTCAGCTTTAATTCACAGCAAGTCACTTTAATAAAAGCATCTGCTGATTTACTGATGTTAATAAGATGCTCTCTGCGACTTGATACAATAAAAAAGTCCACACTGCATTCAAAATCAATGATGACGACCCACGCATGGCACGCTTTGTTCTGCATTAATATCGAGAGGAGGTCCAAAAGCCAGTACATGTGTATACAAGTAGACCTAACCTTGTAAAACATCTGAAATTAAAACAAAAAAGTGAGCATGGAGAATTTGCAGCAAACCTTTGCAAGACGAGAGAAAATGTCAAGAGATACCCCAAGAGCTATACAAATAACAGAGGTGCGTTGCGGCTGCGACACGGCTACCGGAGCTGATCGCGGCGGCCACTCTAGTCAATGCTTGTGTTTACACCAGCCGTGCCGCGTTTCAGAAGCGGCTCTCCGCGCCACTTCACTAAAGATTGGCACCTAGTCTATTTCTGATGGATGCCACGTCCAGGCCGCACCGTAAATACAAAATAAAAAAAAAGTCCATTGTCTCTCATCAGTTTAATGACACAATGGATAGATGGCGATTTCAATCTACAACAAATCATGCTCCATGCAAAGCAATTCCAAGGCTCGCACATGGGTCAAGCGATCGCAAGCATATTTGAGGAAATGCTTGCGACTTGGGAAATTCCCAAAAGCTCTGTACATGTTGTGGTCCATGACAATGCCAGAAACATGATAAAGGGCATGGAGGAGGCCGGAGTTTCTAGTCTTCAGTGTGTGGCACATACGCTGTCACGGAGGGTCTGCTATCACAGCGCAGCATTGCTGATGCCGTGAGAGTCGGGCGCTAAATAGACGGCCATTTTAAACATTTAAACCTGGCATACTCTCGGTTACAGGATATCCAGATACAGCTCGGTCAGGCCATTAAAAGACTCCAGCAAGACGTGCAGACTCTACACGGTGCAGTCTCTGATTGAGCAGAAACGGGCCATTGGTGTGTATGTGTCTGAAAACAAGCTCCCTGCCACTCTAACAGCAAACCAGTGAAGTCTTATGGAGAAGAAGCTAAATGTCTTGGCTCTCTTTGAAGAAATGGCTCGTTAAGTGAGTTCTTCAGATGCTTCAGCCTCAGATGTAGTTCCTGCGCTTACTGTGTTGAAACTTATGGATGAGGACCAAGGAATCAAATCTATGAAGAGCGCTTCTCCAACATTGAACAAAACCGGCTTTAGTGTTTTGCAACGTTACTTGAAAAAAAAAAATCGAAATAATTATAATAAATAAGTTTACATAAGTTTAAAGTGTATACAGTATATCATTATTATGTATTATTAAGTTTCTATATTAAACAATTTCATCATAATGATATAAAAAAAAAACTGCAAGAGTTATTTTCTTTTACTGTATAGAATGAATGCTTATATTGTCATTGTTTTTTGTTTGTTTTTAGGCAAAAAGATCAATTCTTCTCCAACACAGACACTGCAAGGCAGGTCAAAGAAATGCTGGTACTGGAGCTGCAAAAAAACGTCTGTTGGAGAGACAAAAGCACAGAGAACAAAAGGCCTCAGTGACCAGCCAGGTACCAGTCTGGACAGTGTTTTTGAAGAAACTGCAGATGCATTTACATCTATGAGCAGATCTCCAACAGCTGGAAGCAGACCTTGGAGAGAACACTGTGCATCGGTCAGATAAACCCTTCAAGTACTGTAATCTGTGATTTCCGGCTCTGGCTCAAATGGCACAAACATATCTTTCAGCCTCTTGCAGTAGCGCGGAAAGTAAAAGATTGTTTAGCTCCTCGTCACACATTCTGAATGAAAGCAGAAGCTGGCTTGTTACTGAACTTGCAGATATGCTTCTGTTCCTTAAAAAGAAGCTGCCACTTACTTTTGAAAAATAATCCTAATTGACTGACTGCCTTCTACAAAAACATCCTTAGCTTATATTTCTTCCTTCTTAAGAACTCCTCCTGCAGTTATAGTGTTGCTCATCCAGATTTAACACTGTAATATTTTACTGTACACTTTCAACTGTGATTACATTGTTACACAGTGTTATTATGTCATAAACATTTGTCCTGTGATATTTGTTTGGCACTGTATGACAACTTTTTGACAGGCAGGTAAAAATGACATCTATTACGCCCTATGGAGGTTATTGGACACTGTGAAAATTTGTGACAAGCACATAAGAATGATTCATTTTTTCATAATATGTTTGAGTTGAAGGTGTTTGTAGTAAAGATGCTGTCCTACATTCATTAGTCTCATAGCCTGGGAAAACCCAGACAACTTCCGGCAAATTTAGATTTGCTCTGAAAGTTAGTCTGGCAAAGAGCTCATTCAAACCCATTTCCAATCCGTCGAAATCGCGGCACCAATCAGAAACGTTGGGGCGGGCTTTACACGATGACGACAGCGCTGGGATTTTGAAGCAGATTTTGTAGCCTACATTACAAAGATGGATGCCGCCGTCGAACATCACTCGTTCCAATCAGCTATCGCGTCTGTTTTAAGCCATTTGAACGTTTCCTTTTAGTTAAAAACCGAGCAAAGAACAACACTCGGAGATGTTTCTCCGCCGCTCTGCATACGTCATCTCCTTCATCGCTCTGATTGGGTTTAGGTCTATCCGCGACGTCCGTTGGTGACGCCCCTCTGGAAATGATTTGTCTATGACGCTTTGCTAGACCATAACTCAGTTACAACTGAGAATGGTCTGGTTTTAACCAGGCTATTAGTCTCACTGTGTTGTTCTTGGAAAATTGGCACATCACAGAATAAAAAAGAGAGAAAAAAACAGTACAACCGAGTACCAGAAAAAAAATATCGGTACTCGCACTTGTAGTTTTGCTAGAGTTAACACTCATGTGACGAACATGAAAGAGTTTTAATAAACCCTCATGATAAAGTAAAACTGTGTATACCCAGAGACTCCTTGATCACTTCATCATTGAAACGTAATCACAAAAATACTCGATCCTTAAAAAGTGGTATCAGTGCATACAACATGATATAGATCTTTAATCTCTACACTTACAATTTATGCAGTAATTCAACATTTTTTTGTGCTCCAAAATCTCATTGTAGCTACATGTTACATTTGTACCAATTACCAAAAGAACTCTCATTTGTTTCTAATATAATGAAACTGAAACCCACGTTACACTACCTCATCAAGTTATTAATCACATTCATCAGTTTTGTTACATCTCACATTTACATTTCATATAAGAAACTCAAAAGGGCTTTTATAAGGAAACGTGATACCTCTGTGTTGAAGTTGCATCGAGTTTAGACGTTTCTTTCTTGCCAACATGAAAGCAGGAAGAGGTTTGCAGGAGTCAGTCACATTACAAAAGTAAAAACCTGTTTCAATCCGGTCTGACAGCAAGTGCAGGTTAAAGTTCAAGATACAGTAAATAGGCTTGTTTGAGTAGAGCAAAATCTGCGCAGAAACGATCAGCAGTGATCACCATGAGATGTGTGCCGGTTAGAAATAAGCTCATCTGAGATGTAGATGGCTGTAGCAGTGAGTGAAATGAACACAGCAATACAGATAGTTATAATAATAATAATAATAATAATAACTGTACGGCTTTCCGATCGGTTCTTTAATATGACTTTGCAACATGCACTCGCACTCGTGTGTTACTCAACGTCTTATTATCTTTTATTCTGCTATTTATTCCATTCAATTTAAGGCACAGTCACGTAAATCATGTGTGGCTTTAGGCTTTTTACTGAAGTCTCACAGCAGCCAATCACAGCAGTACTGAAGTCTTACAACAGCCAATCACAGCAGTGGGCATTTACACTGAAGTCTCACAGCAGCCAATCACAGCAGTGGGTGTTTACACTGAAGTCTCACAGCAGCCAATCACAGCAGTGGGCATTTACACTGAAGTCTCACAGCAGCCAATCACAGCAGTGGGTGTTTACACTGAAGTCTCACAGCAGCCAATCACAGCAGTGGGTGTTTACACTGAAGTCTCACAGCAGCCAATCACAGCAGTACTGAAGTCTCACAGCAGCCAATCACAGCAGTACTGAAGTCTCATAGCAGCCAATCACAGCAGTACTGAAGTCTCACAGCAGCCAATCACAGCAGTGGGCGTTTACACTGAAGTCTCACAGCAGCCAATCACAGCAGTACTGAAGTCTCACAGCAGCCAATCACAGCAGTACTGAAGTCTCACAGCAGCCAATCACAGCAGTGGGCGTTTACACTGAAGTCTCACAGCAGCCAATCACAGCAGTACTGAAGTCTCACAGCAGCCAATCACAGCAGTACTGAAGTCTCACAGCAGCCAATCACAGCAGTACTGAAGTCTCATAGCAGCCAATCACAGCAGTACTGAAGTCTCACAGCAGCCAATCACAGCAGTGGGCGTTTACACTGAAGTCTCACAGCAGCCAATCACAGCAGTACTGAAGTCTCACAGCAGCCAATCACAGCAGTACTGAAGTCTCACAGCAGCCAATCACAGCAGTGGGCGTTTACACTGAAGTCTCACAGCAGCCAATCACAGCAGTACTGAAGTCTCACAGCAGCCAATCACAGCAGTACTGAAGTCTCACAGCAGCCAATCACAGCAGTGGGCGTTTACACTGAAGTCTCACAGCAGCCAATCACAGCAGTACTGAAGTCTCACAGCAGCCAATCACAGCAGTACTGAAGTCTCACAGCAGCCAATCACAGCAGTACTGAAGTCTCATAGCAGCCAATCACAGCAGTACTGAAGTCTCACAGCAGCCAATCACAGCAGTGGGCGTTTACACTGAAGTCTCACAGCAGCCAATCACAGCAGTACTGAAGTCTCACAGCAGCCAATCACAGCAGTACTGAAGTCTCACAGCAGCCAATCACAGCAGTGGGCGTTTACACTGAAGTCTCACAGCAGCCAATCACAGCAGTACTGAAGTCTCACAGCAGCCAATCACAGCAGTACTGAAGTCTCACAGCAGCCAATCACAGCAGTACTGAAGTCTCATAGCAGCCAATCACAGCAGTACTGAAGTCTCACAGCAGCCAATCACAGCAGTGGGCGTTTACACTGAAGTCTCACAGCAGCCAATCACAGCAGTACTGAAGTCTCACAGCAGCCAATCACAGCAGTACTGAAGTCTCACAGCAGCCAATCACAGCAGTGGGCGTTTACACTGAAGTCTCACAGCAGCCAATCACAGCAGTACTGAAGTCTCACAGCAGCCAATCACAGCAGTACTGAAGTCTCACAGCAGCCAATCACAGCAGTGGGTGTTTACACTGAAGTGTAAACACCGCACTCTCCCAGCTATCAAACCAAAAATGCACTCTAAAAAAAATAGTTTAATTCTTGACAGAAGACAAAGTTGACAAACGTGCATACCTTCTTTGTATTTCAGACCAAAATTCAACACAACTTGGAAAACAATCAGAAACACAAAAACAAGGCTGCTAATTTAATATAATCATCAATGTTTTCATCTTTATTTACATTTTTGATAGCTTTGCGGGGTCTGAGAGGAAGAGTTGCTTTGCAGCTTTTGTTAAATACTCTTAAAAGTGTCTAATGGTATGTTTAATTATATCCACACAAATCTTAAACTGAGCAGCTATTTCTTTCACCCGATGAATAAATCTCAGCGTTTCTGATTTGATTTCTTCTGCATTTCTCTTGTGTGCTGATTGATTCATTTCTGAAAGCTCTGTTGAATCTTGAACAATACTGTAAACATCAAAAGCTAGAGACACAACGGAGAGTGCGCCAGTGAGCGCTGCTGTCATACGGAGAGGTTTGAGGGTTTGAGCAGTCGCACGCAAAGCACTGACACCTTTCACAGACACACGGATCTCTTTGGCAACCTCTGCACACATTTTCGCAAATTTAGCCACATCAGCTACATGTGCAATATGTAATATGTCTCCAAGCCCTCTTGCTGCTCTCAGAAATTCATTCTGCGTTAATGTCTCCTTTTGAAATCCTTTTTTCTCTGTGATGTTATGAATGTTACTCAGAAGCTCAATCATTGGGTTGATTGTGCTCTGGAAATCATTGATGATCTTCTCAATAGTCTCGCGTAGGCTTTTCTGCTTGATGGCGTCAGTAATGTTAGATGCTCCACCCGTGACGCCTCCAGCTACTCCAGCAACGGCACCAGCAGCAGTAAGAGCCAGAGAACCACCGAATGTGAACGGGGCCAAAGCCAGTCCCACGAGTGCTGTGACTCCTCCCGCTGCTCCTATTGAAGATCCTACCAAACTGCCTTTCATGGTGTTCTTGTGCATGGACTCCAGCTCATCTGTGCTGTCATTCAGAGCCTTTATTTGCTTTGTCAGAGTTTGATGATTTCTGTTAAATTCTGATTTTAGTTCTTCAATGCTTCTTTTCAATTCAAGCATCCTGAAATATCAAACAGTTCATCAGGATTAAACAGTATTTTAGTTTTTTAGTCTTATTGGCCATAAAAAGAGGAACATATTCTGTTGATGTACATTGAATGACTAACCACTGTAAAATAACTCTTTCAAGTATTCAACCACTAAATATTTGCCTTGATCTAACTTAAAATATTGCTGTACCTCTAATATCAATAAACTGATTAAGTCGAGACACGCTTACCTTTGAAAAATGTCTTTTAGTTGATTTCCATCACCTGCATTTGATGTAAAGCATAAACAAAGATTATGATAGTAAATAATGGGCAATATAAGTTACTTTTTTTAATTTGTCTATATTTTTTATTGTAATTAATTATCTTAAACAGGGCTCCAGACTGTGCCTAAAGTGGTTAAAGTGATATTTTTTTAGTTGAGATCATCATAGCTATATATATCTCTTTCAGCCAGGTTCTCACCTTCCATACTGCTTACATGCCTCATTAAAAAGTCTATGGGCAAAAAAAGAGTATGTTTTCCAGTCTGGCTCACATCTTCTCCTGTGCTTTCAGCCCTCTTCAAATCCATTACAGCATCTTGAATGTTCATCTTGAGAAGGTCTGCAATGATCATCTTCACTCGAAACTGTTTGGTAAGCAAAGTCTTATCTTCACTTTGTGGCTTTACACAAGTCAGAACCCGTGCCAGTTGTGACTTGTATGAATCTATAGCCTTTTCAGCCATATCAAGGTCAGGTAGTGCTTTAGCAATATAACCACCATCTTTCTTCATAACTGTGGCCAGTGCACGATTATAGAGAGGAATAAACTCCCAGCAAACACCGTCCTCCAAAGCTTTAGTGTACATCTCAATGCTCTCTGCAAGGCATCCCTTCTCACGGAGATTGTCTCCAGACCTGATGTAATAGTAGACCATAGTGGATGGACACTGTTTACTTAAAAGTTTCTGCTTTGCATTTGACAAGTCCCTTTCCAGCTGTTCCTTCAGTGTCTCAATGGATGTTTCCTCATTGAAGTACATCAAGAACCACAAACCCCAACACTCATGAAGACAGGACACAAATACATCTCGCTGGTCTGAAAAAGCATCATCTTCATAGATGTTGTCCAAAACATCAAGGTAAACAGAGAAAAGCTTTTCCTTTGTTGTGATTTTTGGAATGTCTTTTTCAAGGAAGCTTGAGAGTCTGATTTTCACCATAATGGTCCTGGCTATTTTTGCCTCTTCCAGATCTTGTGATGAGAATGATTTCGTGGTTAAGAGGTCTGTTAGGGCAGAGACCATTGCTTCATGATTTTGAAAGCTGTGGTTTTCAAGGTAATGATTAAGTGCATCCTCAAACAAATTCTCTGTGGAATCACATGACATCAGTATAGATCTAAGATGGCTCAGACATTTGAGTAAGCTGGTGACAGATGTGTTCAGGCTCATCACTAGTTTAACAGAGTCAGAGAGGTGACTGGTGCACACGATGAGTTGAGCAGATCCTGGACTTCCTTGGCGAGCCGTTCGTCCGAAGGCTTGCTGTTCAACACGGACATTCAGAGGTAAGAAGGTTTGCACCACAAACAGTCCTCCTGCCTCATTTACACTTTTACAGACCTTTAGGTCTGTTCCTCGACCTGCTAGATTAGTTGCAATGATGACGACTCCTGCTTCAACTGTTGAATTTATTATTGTAGAGTTATCCATATTGTCATTCACGTAGAGTTTTAGTTTGTCTTTTGTGATGGTGTTTGCAAGGGCCCTATGAAACATCTCTGCACGATTGATTGTTTCACAGATGACGAGAGCTGCTCATGGACCTCGATAGACTGTAGAGGACACTTGATGCTTAACAACATTACAGACGGCTCTGATCCACTCGTCCTCTTCAGGGATCACCATGCCTTCAAGCTCATAGAGTTTCCTTGGTCTAAATGAGGGAATCTTGCAGGTCCTAATGCCATTGTAGAGCTTCTTCAGCATATCAAGCTCTGTTTGGTCACCCAAAGTTCCTGTGATCCCATAGATCTGGTTTGAGTATTTCTTGAATAAACAAACATTAGACATGAAGTTTGTGATTAGACTCATGTTGGACAGTTTAGTTTGGTGTTTCATCTCCAGGAACTGCTGAAGTCCTTCACCCCATCTCATGTTGTTCTGCACAACACCAGTGCATTTGTAATCAACAGGAACAACTCCATCTTTATGAATGATACATTCATGGCCCAGAGTCATTTTGGTGGCTAGCAGAGCATTTTCAATCCAAGTTTGGATCTTACCATTAATGAGATCTTGAAGGCCTGGAATACGAGATTCATTTTGTTCCTTTATTGTCTCAGACTGATAACCATTTTTAATCCTTTCAGCCAATGACTTAACTAGTGAGTCTTCATCAAAGTGCACAACATGATATTTTCCATTTCCCTGGAGAACAATTGATATTTCTTGCCTTTTATTTGAACCTGCAGAACTGATTTCATTGTGTTTCCTTAAAGTACCATCAGGCTCTTGATGGTATAGTTTAAAGGAATACTGAGGGAAATTTCTCACTAACGTGGTTAAAAATGCCACCATTTGCAAAACACTTGCATTATCTAGTTGTTTTTAAACATTTGTCATGTGTTCTTGCATTTGCATTGAGGGTTTCGAAGGCATAATTCCTGCATCCACAGCCATCTGCACAATACTGAGTTGATCAATGTTTTTATTTTCATGCATGATTTCAGACAGAACCTCAGAGAAGAGCTGAATGGGCCCTAAGATCTCCCCGGTCTCTAAACGCTTTAGCTGGTTGACGATCAACCAAATTTCAGCCAGTATTACATTCAACGGTTCCATGAGAGGCATGTTAGTATTCAGGTAGACCACTTCAAGACCTTTGTCCAACATTAGCGAGTCCACCTCATCCACAATAACACACTGAAACTCTCTCTTAGATCTCACATCTCTTCTGTGGAAGCGTTGTCTCAGAAAATCACCAGCAAAACTCTGAGTTGTACCATAGACCACCTGGCATTCATAGCACTTCTTGAGGTCTTCATCTTTTGATTTGTTGGTGTTGACATCAATGGTTATATCTGGTTCCTGATAAAATCCAGACCATTGTTCAGCGTCTCTTTCAGCAAGTACAGGAGAACTGGAGATGATATCAGGGGTTTTTCCCATCATGGCCTGATGTGCTGCAAACATTGCCACGATACACGACTTTCCTTCTCCTGTTAAAACCTGAACGAGCCGACTTGATTCAGAAAGAACAAGAATGCACCAGCTCACCATCTGAGTCACTCGAGGTTTATATGTCATTGTCTTTTCCACGGCTTTGCAGAGCTTGAACAAACGTTGCTTTATTTCTTGTAGATGTGGAGCTGTAGAAGCTGACAGACATTTGGACACAGAGAGGACAATGTCTTTCACTGTTTCCATAATTTTTGCATCAATTTCTGATTGTCCACAGATCTCCTTCACAATCTCATCCAGTGTTTTCTCATTATTGTTTTTGGCTATGTCATTAATTTTGGCCTCAACATGATCTGCCATCTTATCATTCACTGTCAAATCTGACACACTTATTTTATGCATCTCCACTTGATGAAGGATTCTCATCATCCATGTGTGAAAATCTTCATTCCTGCCACTATATTGCTCCACAAGGGCTTTAAATAACGTAACAACATCATCTTTTCTCCACTGTCCGCTCTTAAACAGGGAAATCAGTCTTGATGACAGCAATTTTCCTGATGCTTCCATTTTCAAAACTCTGGAAATTCACTTATTCATATTTTTAACAATGCAACGTCTGTGTTTAAAAAAAACAAACAAACAGAAAATATTTCAGCTTCTGCCCATCTAGCAAACAATATTATAAAAGCAAGAGATGATTAGGATAGCTACAATAGGCTTTATTTTAAATAAAGAGTAATACGTTTGTTTAATTTAAAAGTGATTTCAAAGTAGATCAATCAAATGTTTTCAATGAAAGCATTTATTTTTTTATACTTACACTATCTGAGGCACTATTCTTCTGTGGAGTTGACAGCGAAGCTCTTAATGTATTTGTGAAAAGACAAAGCGACTTGTTTTATATCTGGATAAAAAGAGGACGTGCCTCTAGTGTTCTGGAATTTCCAGTATGTCACGTGATTTGAAGGAATATGAGCTGCTTGTTTTTATTACATTTAGGATACATTTTGTGTAAATGTGATTTAATAATGTGTTATGCCCTAATTAAACATTTTTGTAACATTTTTACACACATAAAGCTTATTGTACAGCTCTGTGAAGTCAGCAAACTATTTACATATTCTGCAGAATATTCTTTCACTTTCAGTATTGTTGGTAAGTACCAAAAATGATTAATGATTTACAGTTGAGTACTGTAGGTGTGGTTGTCACAACACAGAATGAAACAGGTGTTATAGTGATAACAGGGTTTATGAGCAGAGTGGTGAGAACCAGCGGGAATGATGGTGGGTGAGGTTGGGGCTGTGACGGTGTGTCTGAATCTGTGACTATAGGCTTGTTTGAGATGAAATGTAGTCGAGAGGCGGTACTGCAGTGAGAGGAGGAGTGAAACAAGACGGACAGATCTCTATTCTCGGAGTGGATCAGACACCTGCGAGATCAGGTGGATATCGGTTGGATTCACGCTCGTGCACGGTGTTGCTAATAAACTGGATGTTATTTAAGTTATGTTGCTTTTATATGAAAAATTAAATATAATGAACAAGACTCCCAAAGTCCTTTTTATTTAATCCCATTTCAAATACGTGTTTATCAATCTTTTCATTTCGTTTTCTGACTTTCGAGACAACTGAAGTCTAAACATTTTTAACTAAATATTATATACATAAATGCAAATATAGAGTAAAACCAAACCTCTTTTTATTCTTCAACGTATAATTAGAATATATAGCCTATTAAGAAAACCATTCGGATAACAGGACAGCTTTAAATTATTTCTGTAACTGTTAGCCAACTAGCCTACTAGGTGTCAGGGTTGTTGCAGGTAGCAGAAGACGAGGACAGAATGTTCTGCAGTATAGTTGATTTATTTACAAACTTAACTTTTCAAAACCAAAAGGAAAACATTCCAGGACTTCACAAAACACACAACCATACACGGACGTCGATCAACAAATGGTGATGTGACATTTGAACCGAGGCATCGGAGCTTGTGTCGAGAAAAAATGGGCGTGCCAGATGAAGGCGATTCGAGGCTTGTGTTGTTAACGTGAAAATCACGTGACTAATGACAAACGAGGCCTCGGTTTTTGTGGATACGTCATCAGTCTGAGTGTTCGGTCGGTTCGCTGCTGGATAAAGGGGGTTCGAAACTCGCGCCACCTTGTGGGTGTTGCAGGAGTAGTAGAAGCAGTTGTAGTGTGTCTGAGTCAGAGAAATCTCATTGTCGTTATTGTGTCATATATGTGTTAGGGCTGTATATTATTACATTATGTCAGGTTAGAATAGTTATTAATAATAATGAATAATTGTTATTATTAATTATAGCTATATAAGCTTCAAGCTCAGAAGTGTCCAAGCAACACAGCAGTAATGACTTTATGGTGACTTTATGACTAAGTGGTGCAAACTTCTTCACTTATAAGATCGATAATATTAGGGACAAAATTATAACTATGCAACCGTCTACCACAGTATCGCATCAGACAGTGCATTGTAGTCTCCATGAGGAAAAATTTGATTCATTTGTTGCCATAGGAGAGGACGACTTTTCTAAACTTGTTAAATCATCTAAATCGACAACATGTATGTTAGACCCTATACCGACTAAGCTACTGAAAGAGATGCTTCCAGAGGTCATAGATCCTCTTCTTACTATCGTTAATTCGTCTTTGTCTCTAGGATACGTACCAAAAACCTTTAAGCTGGCTATGATAAAACCGCTTGTTAAAAAACCGCAACTTGATCCTACAGAATTAGTCAATTACAGGCCGATCTCGAATCTGCCTTTTCTATCAAAGATACTAGAAAAAGCAGTATCCTCACAACTGTGCTCCTTTCTAGAAAGAAATGATATCTGCGAGGATTTTCAGTCAGGATTTAGACCGTACCACAGTACCGAGACAGCTCTCATTAGAGTCACAAATGATTTGCTGTTATCATCTGATCGTGGTTGTATCTCTCTATTAGTGTTACTCGATCTTAGTGCTGCATTTGACACCATTGACCACAACATTCTTTTAAATAGACTCGAAAATTATGTTGGCATTAGTGGAGTTGCACTAGCATGGTTTAAATCCTAACTGACCGTTATCAGTTTGTAGCAATAAATGAAGAGATGTCTTATCGATCACAAGTTCAGTATGGCGTACCACAAGGCTCAGTACTAGGACCGCTGCTGTTCACTCTGTACATGCTACCATTAGGAGATATCATTAGGGAACATGGAATTAGTTTTCACTGTTATGCTGATGATACTCAGCTGTATATTTCTTCACGCCCCGGCGAAACTTACCAATTCACAAAATTAACGGAATGCATAGCCGATATAAAAAATTGGATGACTAGTAATTTCCTACTACTAAATTCTGAAAAAACAGAGATTCTAATAATTGGACAAAAAACTTCCACACGTAATAACCTAGAATACTGTCTAACACTTAATGGCTGCTCTGTTAAGTCTTCGTCGTCGGTTAGGAACCTGGGTGTGCTCTTTGATACCAATCTCTCATTTGAAAGTCACGTGTCTAGTATCTGTAAAACTGCATTTTTCCATCTTAAAAACATATCTAAATTACGCCATATGCTCTCACTAACAAATGCAGAACAATTAGTTCATGCGTTCATGACATCAAGGCTAGATTATTGTAATGCTCTACTGGGTGGTTGCCCTGCACACTTAATAAACAAACTACAGCTAGTTCAAAACGCAGCAGCTCGAGTTCTTACCAGAACCAGGAAATATGACCATATTAGCCCGGTTCTGTCAACACTGCATTGGCTGCCTATTGAACATCGTATAAATTTTAAAATATTGTTGATTACTTACAAAGCACTAAATGGTTTAGCTCCGCAGTACTTGAGCGAGCTCTTAACGCATTAGAGTTCTTCACGTCTATTGCGATCTCAAAATTCCGGCCAGTTGATAATACCTAGAATACAGACTGATCTCATGAAATGGCGTATGAATGACACGCCAATTCGTATTTCCATTTTTGGCGTGCTATCAACACGCATAATCGCTTTTCAGCGTGTTTATCAACGCCTTTGACTTAACGGTTATATTACTGTATTATGTATATATAAATATATGACCTACCCCAACCCCGTCCCTAAACCTACCCGTCACTGGGGTTAATGCCATTTATGAGTCTTCTCCTACCATCCTAGGAAAAGAAATATCGCTCCACAGATGTAGATATAGATTTTGCTTCGTTTCGCTCGGACATTTAACGGCGTACACATACACGCGGAATCACTCGGACATTTAATGGCGTAGACATACACGCAAAAGATTTCGGCGTGGACATACACGCGGATAGCTCAAAATGCGTATAGATAACACGCCACTTGACTTGAAAAGTGGCGTGTATGTTTACGCAAAGTCATGATGTCATGTTGTAGAATATCAAAATCGACTGCTGGCGGGAGATCCTTTTCCTATTTAGCACCAAAACTTTGGAACAGTCTTCCTACCATTGTCCCGGAAGCAGACACACTCTGTCAGTTCAAATCTAGACTAAAAACACATCTCTTTGACCTAGCATACACATAATACATTATAGACTTCGTTAATTCAATGTTAGGCTGCATAGATTAGGTCAGCCGGAACTGGGAACACTTCCCTTAAATCCAGATGTACTCGTTACATCATAAGAAGAATGGCATCTACGCTAACTTTAGTGTCTTTGTTTATCCCGAGGTTTTCCTGCAGCCTGCCGGATCCAGGCCGTATCCAGATCTGACGAAGGAGATTCGCCTGGACCCGATGACAATGCAGTGCTGAAGTGTCAACTATCCTCTCCCTATGGAGGATCCCTTTCCCACTCTACAGATAAAGCGTTGTTGAAAATCCGGTTCGCGTACCCCGAAGTGATAAAATAAAATTCTGTATCAAATTTATAGGCAAGACAAGTAATTTGTATAGGCATGGTTGGTAGGGAAATTACAAACCTGCGCACACATATTCAAACGAATATAACTATAGAATCAATTTTTAATGCGCATGTGAACGCCATCCGTTCACAGGTTCACGTTTAACGTCTGTTTAGAGAGAACGCCGTCGTCTTAGTGGCCCCTAATGTAATAACAAATGATAATTTTGCTGGAAGTGAATCAATAAAAACCAACTTTAGCCGGAAATAACATTATTCAAAATCGCTATAAAGCCAAAACAATCTCTGTTACCGTAAATTGTATGTTTATCTCTGTAAAGCTGCTTTGAAACAATCTCCATTGTTAAAAGCGCTATATAAATGAAGATGACTTGACTTGACTATTATAGTCTTGTTATATTAATTAGATAAGATTATTTGGATTGCTTTGGATTTTTGGTAGCTTAGATTTTTGGATCTGGACTGGACTGCTTTTTGATTTGGATTGCCCTTTTGGATTTGTTTGCTTTTTATGACATCTTCCTTTT